CTCCTTCCCAAGAACTGTCGCCTGTTTTTGTTAGCCGAACGTGTTTGAAAGCTGTAGCATGCAAAATGTTTTTAGAAAGTTATTGTAGATGAAGCGTTACAACACGGCAGCGATGAACACTAGGAGCCGTTTTCCTAGCTCAGATCAAGCAGCTGTAATTCCATTTCTCCTTTTGCCAATGACCGTGTTTCCTGTAGGCGCAGATCACGGGGGGTTATTGCATTCTGTCATCCTGGCATTCCCGTTCGTGTAGTGGGCAGTGCAATGGAGTGTCCAGCATTGCTTAAAGAACATAGCGCCTGCCCCTCCTTTGGGACACTAGAACATAGGAGAAACACGGGTCTAATTCACAAATACTGCAGTTTTAAGAAAAAAAAAAATGCTGTTTCACTGGAAAAAACCACCCAGTTTTTAGAAATCAGAAGTTGCTCCTTTCTCCGAGGCCTTTTCTATTACTTTGGTGAGTACATACACCTTAGTGTAATTTCTAGGTATGTAGAAAACCATAAATGCACAGTGAAAGGGAGCACTTTTTCAAAAATTTACAGTAACAGAATTCAAGATCTCTTTAGGATTTCAAATAGGCAAATATTGACAAATACCGCAGTAAAGACATTAAACTCAGTCTCCTCTTCAAAACTGGACAAAAGTCAAAGTCTTAGTGTGCTAAATGTCTGTAAAGGCTCAGATTGCTCTTTTATTGCAGTCTGTCTCCTTCTCCATCTGAACTCTCAGACCAGTCTCTGAGAAACAGGGAGTTTATATTTCATCTATATTTTAGGCATTATAGCAACTGAGGATTCCTGTGTATTTTCCTAGTAGTGATCCAAGTTCTGAAACAACTGACCCAGCACTGACCTCTCTAACTACTTTCCTTTAATTAGTATCTATTCTCTTTAAATCTGGATATGGAATTTTTAAAAATCCTGCACTTAGGTTCTGTATACGTGGCATGAACTTTCTCATCCTTTATAAAAAAAGGCCATAAAACACTGGGAAATTGGGATTATTTTTTTTTCATGAGTCCAAAACAGCTGCCCTGAGTGTTTCTGTACTACCTGTGCTGTGAGCCCTTTTTCTTATCACACCTCGCTTCTTCAGCTGAACTAAAGCTATTTCTAATAAAATGATTCAGAAGAGGTTTCTCAATTACAGAGAAAACCGAATTGAAAGAATTTAAGTAGCTCTTTTCCTGTTGTTTATTCTATCCATTACCTGCATTTTCCTTTGGCAATACTGTAGTAGTTTCTTCAGTTTAGATTCTTCAGTTGAGAATACTCTGACATGAATTTCAGATATTTTGACACTATAAATTCAGTCATTTTCATGCAACCCCGCTAAGGAACCCTTACAAGTGCTATATTGTCATTCTTAACTACTCGTCTGTTGTGATGAAAACGGAATTAGTCCGTAATACCATTTCAAATTTTGAAAAAGTAAGATGAGTCGACAGGCTAAGGCTTTAAAAATTTGCTTCTGCAACAAAGGAGGTTCAGGAAGAAATGAAGTTCAGAAACAATGGTATTGTGAAATTAGAGAATCCTTTCCATTGAGTGATGTACCTAAAAGCAAGGCGTATTGGTTGCTGATGCAGAAGCGATCTATACCAAATGAAGGTTGAATGTTATGCTGTGAAAACCTAAGAGCCATTTTGCTAATGTGCATGGAAGGATCATGGGGGTAGAAATCAGAATTTGACTTCCATTGGAACACACTGAATAAAACAAGTTGGCTAGTAAGACATTTTAGACTTGATTTTTTTGTGGGGTTTTTTCATGTTGAAAGTAAACTGCAAAAGGTGGGCTATATCCTTATTGTACATCGCCTCTTCTGTAACTACACTAAAGACTTTATTTAAAAACATCCAACAAAACCAATTGGACTTTGTGAGAAGACAAGTATCATTATGAAAACTTTGATTTAACAGTAAAAATTAAGTATTTACACACGCACACCCTCTCCTCGGGTCACCCAGCAACTAAACTCGAGGCAGCATCCCTGGCTGCACTCAGCACGGCTGGGTTTTGTTCTTTTGGCTGCCCCAGGTTTCCTGCAGTTTTCTTTGGAATTTCACATCCAATAGATGAATCTTCCATGCAGCACAAACTAAGCTTTTGACCTTGGTATAATGATGCAGTGCTTCATCTCACGGTCAAAAAAGGTGGTTTATATTTCAAACTAGCTAATTCTGACTTGCAGAACTAAAATTCTCTCTTCCCAACTGCACAAGACCTGGCAGTAAAAGGATCTCTAATATGACACCCACTTAGTTCAGCAGATGTGATTTCACAGCAAATGGACCTTCCTTTTTGCTTTTTAACATGAATACTTCACGTGGGGAATACTCTAAATTGTCCATTTTACTTTGTCCTCTGCTGTGGGGCTCAGTGAATGGGAGTTGTTGATCCCTTATTTCCAGCTTTTAGAGAACCAGCCGTTCCTGGTGTTACTGCATGCAGCATATGAATTAGTACAGCTTTTCTTGGAAAATAAGAGAAAAACCAAACACTTCTTGTTTAAAGCTTTAACTGCTTGAAAGGAAGGCTGCCTATGCAGGGAACAAAACCAGGCAGATAAGCGTGTTTACCAGCTTTAAAAGCCTTCCATTTTACCGAAACAACAACAACAACAAAAAATACTTTTATCTACAAAGGAGGAAAAAGTGTAATTCAGCTCTGAAACAGGACTAAAATGGCAAAGTGTCTGATGCTGATGATTCACTTAACTTACTTTACAATCAAAAAATGTTTCAGTTGGTTACCAAGGCTTCAGCCTATTCTGGGACAATAGGAAAATCCTATAGGTCAGATTTAACTGCTTGCTGTCTTTGCACGTTCTCTTTACACTCAGTATAATCAAAACCAAAAACAAAAGCAAAAGAAAATCCAGCTTTTCAATCAGAAGTTAATAGTTCTGTCCAAGGTGCATCAGACAGGGAACAGGGTTCTGCTCTTTCCTCAACCAGTTCAATGCTGCCTTATTAAAAAATAAAAAATAATGACAGAATTAGTTGTTAAATCAATAGGAAAAAAATCTGATTCTCAGGAATCAGACTGAGTACAGAGACAGTCAGCTCTTCAATCTAAAACGATGCTTTCACTAGCATATACGAGCTATATAATACCTTTGAAAATTTCCACGGTAGTACATGCAAACCCATCCGCTGTGCTTACACATATGACAGCAGGCCCCCTCCCCAGTGCTCTCCCTTCCCATCATGGAAGACTCACTGAGCTATGTTGAAACTTGTGGATAAACAGCCAGTAAGTTGAAATAACTGGTATTCTTCTATGCAAAACCAAATTCTCAGATTTTAGCTCTAGGAATCTAAGCTTTAAAAAAAATCTCAGAATGCGCAAGCTAATCCAGTCATCACTTTTACAATAATTATAGAGAAAATGTTGTGATTGTTAGCAGCAATAAAGAGGAAAACTTCAAAAGATTTTCTTTAGCGCTGCATTTTAGAGATAATGTGCTTTAATATACAGTTAAAATGTCAAGGAAATCCGAAGTATGGAAGAGTTTAATTCAATACCAGCTCAACGTATTCTGGCAATGTAAAATTCACTGCTGGCATACTGTTCAGCAGAACCATTTTTACAGGAAAACATCTTCCATCTATTTCTAAAAACCCTGAGGTTGATTAAGAGATGCAACATTGCAAGCCTTCCTAAACTTTGTTCCTGTAGGTGAGTATCTATTATAAAAAAGCATTCACCGTAATAAAAAGGACGTGTTGAAGTACTCTGCACTGCACAGTAAACTTGTAAGATTGGATACAGCACATCAGCCGTTCCAGTTGAAGTTGCAAAAGTGCTCAGCGGCTCACCTTACTCATTAACTATATGCTGCATATATGAATGCAGAGAAACAGGAAAGCGCCATCGTGTATTAAGAACAAATGCGCAGTAATAAACAAATACTCACAGACGGTAAAACCCACAATCAGCATATAGAATCAATTGGCTCTTAAGAATGGGGCTTAAATCCCACCAGCAGAACTTGGAGCAATACAGGCACGAGTCAAAAAGCAGAGCTGCAGTATTTAAGCGCCCTAAGGTGAAGAATCACAGTCTCATGAAACACGGCAAGGAAAACAATCCAGGGAAAATTTTCAGCATTTCTGGGCCTTCTGGGAAGGCCACTGAATAATTTTTTAAAAGGCTGGATGTTATAGAAATCAAATCTCTCCAATACAAATATCGGGGGGGGGGGGGGGGCTTAACAAAACAAACGGGTATGGGGGGGGGGGGGAGATATGAAAGAAAGTTGGGAATGCATATTTTGTATGAAAACACCATTAAATTACTCACTTTACAGAAAGAAATGCTAGCAGCAATTTAAAAAACAAAAAGCCAAGAGGCTTTATTTCAAGAATACCAATTAAGATCATATTATTTAAAAACTTTGTCAAACAAAGTCATTACAAGTTAAGGTCTTCAAAAGAGTTTGGACAGGCAGGATCCATTTTCTGAATTTACAGCTTAAGCCCACGGGAGTATGCATATGTTTAACATCACATACACATGTGTATAAATGGACACAGCTTTGCATTTTGTGTATACACTTTAAAAGAAAACACGCTCAACAAAATGTGGAGCTATACAGACTATACAATTTACACAGCTGGGTGTCATTCCAACCCCAAATATTACCATTTGCTAGAAAACAAACTTTTACTTTGTACAAGACTCTGACATGAATAAGTTTTCCCCTCGCTCAGGAGGCTGAAACTGAACAATAAGCTAAACAGTCAAAAGACTTTATTTCAACTTGTACAAAAGGCATTAAAAACCCTGAAATACATGCTTTACCAAATATATTACATCAGACAAGTCAGTGTGGTATACTTGATAAATCAGGCTTAACTTCATCCACTTTTAATGGCATATTTAGTCAAAATGTAAAACTGACTACACTGGAAAACATTTATTTTAAAATCAATTTCCATATGCATTAATTACCTAAAAAAAATAAATTGCTCTAGCCAAAAAAAAAAAAAAAATATATATATATTATTGAGTGAAATAAGGAGCTCCCATTCAGAAAAACGTTCTGTGTTCTGTGTAAGCATCATGTGGCATTTAATCCGATTCTCTCAACCAGGCATGGTACCCTAGGCAGTGTGAGAGGCATTTTCCTGTCTGCTTGGCAGATGGATTCCTTTTTAGGATGGTTAAATTGTTAGTTGCTCAAAACAAAGTTTAATTTCACAATTGGTGATTTAGCTAGAGATGTCAAAACACACGTGGGAACTGCCAACAAGAAAATACATCACATCTATTGAAGCTCTTTTTGGCCTCATCATGATAATACCAGACACAGAGTAAGGCATGTAGATCATAGCAATTACAAGTCACTCACAATCCTTTTGTGATGGGAAAAGCATTTCACCCTCCTCTCTGTATTACCTGACACATTTTTTTTCACATGGCTTTTGTTACACATCACACAGAGGTGTGCACCGGTGTGGCTGAATGGGAAGGAGATGAACCTCTATCAGAGGAGGAAGAAATGGATCGTGTAGCAGCTTCCCGCTGCAAATCTTCAACCTTCTTCTGAAGCTCTGTCCGGATGGCGAGGAGCTCTTTAAGATTTTGATGGATTGGGACCTGGCAGGTGAAGAAAGGAAAGGTTTATTTTGACTCTGATAGCGAGTTATCTTCTCAAGCAAAGCTTCCACTGTTTCCTTCAGTCACACATTGAATCCAACACCTATGAATTTCAGTATATCAATATTTAGGGAACGCATTTCTTTAGTCACTTGAAATGAAACACTTCAGCAAACTGTCCCCTTCTAACACCACAGCTGGCAGGAAACCTATTCAAAAGACATTTGCAAATGGTCTTGATGAGATACATATTCCAGTCGATGTACCCCTATCCCTTATCAATACCACTTTCAGTTGAACTTAAAATGCCTTTCCCAGGAACGATTTCCCCTGCCTGTTGGGACAGAACTTAATTTTGTAAAGAGAGTAGAGTTCACAAAGCTGGCTCCGTATGGAGCATCTTGTTACTCTTCTAACCAGGCAGCTTTCCAAGAGTCTGACCCCTTCCAGCTTGTCAGTAAGAAAAGTGCAGCAGCCAAATGAATTGTGCTTGTGGTGGACCTCCCGGAGTCACACTGATAAACCTCTCGTAGAAGTGGATCAGGTTTCTGCCTCTACTTCTGACAGTGCCAAAAAACAGCAGAGATGCACCTCTCCACATCAGACTTCTAGGCATTTTTCATGCTCATCTGGAACACTGAACTATCTCATGGCCAAAGGAAGATGGAAGCCACACTGGTTTTTGCAGCTGGATCTGTTATCTCAGACGAGCACGAAGAGACCTCCCCTTCTTCCAAATGCCACAGAAAGGCCAAAAATGTTTGACTGTAAATTGTTTTTAATTTATTTTACCCCGTATAAACTCTAATTGTTTACAGCTTTTGGAAGGAGCAAGATGGGAAAATAATTTAATCAGGCTGGTGAGACAATCGTGGGGAAATGCAGCAATGGGAAATCTATGGATTGCTAGACGTTGTAAGTAATTTATACCCTGGGATTCTGGAATGCCAGGCTCCGGGGAACTGCATTCATGCACGATCACGTCCAACTGCTTAAGAGTGATTACAAGGCTGGGACCCACACCTGAGCATGAAATTCTCACACAGTGCTATGTGAAGAAGAAATCAAAAACCAGAAAGCATTTCTCGCCATCAACACACAACTCAGTCGCAATTTATATTTTTGTCAATTCAGGCTTTTTAAAGAAAGTTCATCAAAGATCCATGCATTTCATTTTGGCATTTCCAAAAGCTAACACTTGTGTTTCTGAAACAGGAAAATACCATTTAATTTCTAATTTTAGTGCTAACTTAATAAAATGGCATCAAACAGTCTGGTTTAGGTCAACATCTTTTTGGCCATAGGCTTTTTTCTTGTTTGTGGCTTAGCCCATGAACAGAAACTTCAGTGTATTCACAAAGTGCTGCTTCCAGTACCCTGGGAGTCATCAATTCATCCAGCATGCCATTTACAGCAATTTTAAAAGTGTAACTTTTTGGGTCTTCAGCAGAACAATCGCTGCACAGCACCATGCTCCCAATGACCCTGAAGTCCTGCCTTTGCTATGCAATGAATTCCTTCCCTTCTTGCAATCTTCTCCCACATCCACCATACAAACTCTTCAGCAAGTGAGGCCACAAGTCTAGACACAACAGCCTCCTTCACTAATCAAACACAAAGCACCCCCTCCAGAAAGCCAATCTCCTTTTTCTGAGGTGGTCTACAGAAAATGCATACACCTAAAAACATGGCAAAACTGAGTCTGGTGACAAAGTTTGTCCAAGATGCTGTAATACACACTATGAAAAATTAAAATTTCACTGAAGACCAAGACTTTCTGGAATTAGAACACCCTTTTTTTTTTTTCTTTCCTCAAGTGAAAGATCCCTTCCTCATACACTCCCACGTCAGATTTCTTCCTTATGAAGACATTTTCCTGAAACACTTAGGTCTGTAACAGAGTGATTTACCATTGGTATCATTAGTCACGCAAGCCCTGGGTCACAGGAAATTTGTACACCTGATTTCTGCACAGCTTAATCATGATTCAGCATAACAGGCCTATTTCTCTTAGACACCTTTCACACGGGCATTAGATGGCGTGTTCCACTGCACAATGCTCAAAAGCTCATAAAAAGCAATTCCATACAACTGGCTTTTGGGGAACCTACTACAAATCCTTTCAGGATACACAACACAAAAGCTGCTGCAGAACTTGGCACACTGTGTAAAGTGCTTCAAGGAGGAAAAGACTGACTGCACATCTCAATCCTTCTTCTGCATTCCCCCCCGAACCTAATTCAACAAGACACATGCTCAAACTTTGATACAAGTGCTGTTCTCCCCATGCATCTATCTCAAAGAACAAGACTGTCTTTAAATAAATTAGCTAAATAACAATAATGACATTTTAAAAGTCTGTGTATATTTGAATTACACAAAAAACTCTTCAACATTAAGGTTGCAATATTACGCTTTCAAAAAAATAGGTGTCAGAATGAAGATTACTTCTCCAAACTCAATTCAGCCTTGCTGTACATCTGTATAAAGTCATTGGTTAAATAAACATTAAAATACTAGCTTCCCCCTTGTATTCCTCATTTATTCAGTGCACAGTTTGATGCTACTCAATTAGTGAGTAGTTATTCAATATTTAGTTTTCTTTGCAGGGTCTGACCCCATCCTTTATTTATTCTTCTGAACTTAAAATGCTTAGGTTTCCTTTTCTGTACTTTCATCTCATGTCAAGAAACAAATTTCTTTCTACAGCACCCTAATGAGGTATGGGAGTACTAACATTCCGCTTTTACAGACAAGGATCTGAAGCAAGCACCTCCTAATTTTGCATACCTTGCATCTCAAATCGATTTAACAGAGAACATAGGAATTCTGCAATTCGGCCTCGTGGGTATCAAGCAGGACAGCCAGTAAACAAGCAGCACACACATGGTGACCACTCTGCTCCAGCAGATCTCCCTTCCAACAGAGGAATCCTGTGGCAAAGGTAGGGAGAAACTTGGTTTCTCCAGAGCAGCATCCTGCTCCCTCACCCACGGGACAATTCTTCCTTTGCCTGCAGCCATGCCCCCTCCTGCCTACTTTCCCAGGTTGTATTCCATGCAAAGACCTCCAATACTTGAGGCATTACTCACTCCTAGTTCCTATTCCCAGTTAGTCACAACTCTCAGAGACTCTATCAAATCCATCTCTCGGTCCTTTTATTCTCATTTATTCTCAGTCCTTCAGAATCCACTGAGATTGTTCCAGCCTCAGACCTCCAAATTGGATGAATTTCTTCCAGGATATGAGCAGACACATTTCTGAAACATATTCTCTCTTACTAAAATCTCGTATTTGCCCTAGAGACAGAATATTTACAGAAAAAGAGCCCCTCACCCCAACAAAAGAAGTCTACAATACCAATATTTTCATATGGGAAAACATTTTTCTTAGTCACATTCTCATAAGCAACTGAGCCTTCTTGGATGAAGTTTTACAAAACACTTCAGTCAGACACACATACTTGGTGACTCAATACAAATCATTAAAATCCAGCAAAGCTGTAAGCAAGGCAGAATAGGGCCTAACAATGGAAAAAATAAAGTGGTCACCTTTAAAATGTTGCCCATCTTTTAGTAAGTGCATGTTAGATGTAAACACTGCAAGAATGTTCTACCTACATATCATCATGTCATTTCATATGGCAGTGTAAACACGATTGGTTTCCTAATGTCACGTCTTTCTCAGGAAAAGATTCTTGTTGCTTGCCATTTAACGCAGCATCATGTTGTCGTGGTTTAGCCCCAGCCGGGAGCTGAGCACCATGTGGCCGCTCGCTTGCCGCTCACTCCCAGTTTTTGGATGAAAAAGGCAAAACTCGTGAGTTGGGATAAGGACAGTTCACTAGGACAGCGAAGGGAGAGGAAAATCACAATAGTAATAAAAGAATATACAAAGCGGGTGATACACAATGCAATTTGCTCACTGTGCGGAACCCGATGCCCAGCCTGTCCCCGAGCAGCGACTCCTCCTCCCCAGCCAGCTCCCGCCTTACATACTGAGCATGCTGTCATGCTATGGAATATCCCTTTGGCTAGTTTGGGTCAGCTGTCCTGGCTGTGTCCCCTCCCAGCTTCTTGTGAAAATTTAGTCTATGCAGGCCGAAAACCAGGACACATGTAGATGCACATTGATGTAGAACAACTAAATTCCAAAAATAGACTTCACACACTAAACTTCCGATACATATTTTGATGTCATGAAATAACTCATCAAATTCAGTCTAAAGAAATCTTTAGCACTTTCGGAGTATTTTAAAGCAGCTGACAATAACTGATTTATTAATGATAAAGGTCCATGTTAGAATTGCATACTCATGGGGTAAGAAAAAGGTGGTATAGGCAGCTGAAAGACATAAAAATATTATAGAAGTTCTTATACAAAGACCTGAAAAACATCATGGTATGAAGAGCTGTTTTTTCCCAGATGTCTTAAATTCTTCTACTGTAACTCCCCATTTTTGAGAAAAGCAGCTAATTTAAATGTAAAAAACGGAAAGATAGACAGTGGTGCTAGAGGGAAAAGGGGGTGAAATGCCCCAAACAAAGCCTCAATCTCAAGTCACGTGTTTTTTTAAATGAAACCGTTAAGAGAACCAAATAGAACTGGATCTATGCGGCTTCCTACTATCTTGGAAGGAGGAGAATGAGTAGGAGGATGAAGCATCTTCAAATGAATTCGGTCACAAAACTCATGAAAATAATGACAGAAGTAGTTTATTTCATTTCCACATTTCCTAAAGACCTGTTGCTGACAGTGTTTCCTCATACCATCCTGCGCAAATTCTTACAGTAACTATCTCCGTTTTTGTCACTTCATGCCATTATATTTCAGCGTGCGATTCCTCTCTCAAATAAAGCCTGCTTCAGAAAGGAATGGGTCCAACAACCTCCACAATAACACCTGTAATGGCTTGCTGTGAACAAGGTTCTCCTTTACTTTGCCACTGTTTAGAATAAAAGGAAGTGGAAGAGTGACAGATTCTGTAAGGAACAAGAAGT